TATATATATATATATATATATATATATATATATATATATATATATATATATAGTTCTATCTATCTATATATTGCATAGTATATGTGTGCATGCACATCTGATATACATATCTGATGTGTATATATATATATATATATATATATATATATATATATATATATATATAGCATAGTATATGAGTGCATGCATGTCTGATATATTTGTAAAGCATACCGGACTTCCGTTTCTTAGCCACCTGCCTCTTTCCAGCGGGGGCGTTGACGATCCGCTGGCGAAGGGCTTCTGGGCGAGCCTGGCGACGCTCGCCGTGTACCGCGCCCACCTTGCTCCAGCCGCCAAACTTGCATCGTGCTGAATGACACCTTGTCAGCCCATCTATACCACGCTGACGCTGACACATCTTCCCAAGCAGCTGAATGAAAACAGATTTCTGATTATATGAAGAGCCAATCTATATCATACTGTGATAATCCTATTTACATATAAATCAAAGTGAAAAAAATTCTTATCACACACTACTGGCCTGCTGATGAAGTGAGCTTTCAGAACCACGCTCTCTTTTAACCACAACCAAGAAAACAGTCATCCCGAGGACAGATGGCTTGAGTGGGAAGAAATCTGCGATGTTAAGGTGGTGCTATATGGTGTGAAAGGAGTATCATGTTACATCTTGGTCTGCCCAAATGGCCTATATGCTTGGGGCACGTGAGCGAAATACATTTCTTTGTGTGCTATGTTGGGGTTGTATGATATATTTTAGATAAAGATCCCTATATTAATGCATGTTAATGTCTTTGTTATATATAATAATAATAATAAATACATGAATGCCGAAGAAAGTGTTTTATGATAGAGCTTACTTCCAATGAGTCTCCGGAATGATCCTTTAAGTTTATATAACCAAGTGAAATGGTGAACTAGACAGTGTACCTAGATCGCAATAGTGAAGAGGTACCAGGTACATGGAAGTCTTTTATGTATTTGGTCTCATTACTTTATTCACGTAAATTTCCTTATCTTGATTGCAATCCCGACGGAGATAGAAACTCGAGGTAATGTGATTAATCACCTGAATTAGATATGGTGTTTTTAAACCGTGATTTATAGAAAATGTACAGGATGATGAGTTCTTGGTATGTACGAAATATAGTGCTGGGAAATATACAAATACATTTTAGAAATGAAGTAGCTAATGTTTTTACCTCTGAAAATCGATATATTATAGAATATTTGAAAATGTCTGAGCAGATTCAGAAATATGCAGCATTGTAAATATTAGTTTGTCACATCGGTCCAGTAGAATATATTCAAACTGACTCAAATGTAATGGAAACCTTGGGATTTATAGAAGGAACCAAAAGAAAATTTATGTATTGGCTAAAGTAGGAGAGTCTGATATGTTAGATATATTAGATGATGGTGATGATGGCATGTCATGACATGCAATATACTGTGTGTATATCCAGAACCACAAGCGCAACAATAGCAACAACAGCAGCAAAAACAACAACAAGAACACAACCATAACTACTCCCCGTACTACTACTGCTTTTACTACTAGACAACAGCTTCTCTAGCTACTAAAAGATCTACTACTAGCACAACTACTACTGCTAGTCCTATTACCACATTTACTACTATGGTTATCACTACTACGAAAATTCTGTCAGGCCCCCCAGTCCTCCTCCTCCTACCATTACTTCTACTACTACTAGCCACCATGACTACTATACTAAGAGAATAGAATTTATTACTATCGTATCTAGCGCTGCAAAATTCACCATTATTTTCTTGACATTTCAGAAAATAAGAACGAAATAGGTATTGATTATCACCCTTAACAATTAACAATGTAGTTTCACGAGCCTCTGCAAGGGTATTTGCATCCTCCAAAAAAAGGATTTTAAAAGATATGTATGAACGAGTGAGGTTATTGTGTAATTTGAGGAGTAGATCGACTAAGTATATCCTAAAATCCGATTGAAAGTTAATTAATTCAGAAAATAAATCAATTCTGGGACTGACTGTCGCGTTTTCGGAAATCCATTTGTAATTCTACTGAATGAGGGATCTTAGGAATGGACAGAAGCAATGTTTTTTTTTTTTTTTTTTTTTTTTTTTTTTTTAAGATTTATTTCATATTCATATTTTTACAACTATGTCCCTTTAGTAGGTTGAGGGTTAATGGTTAAATCAAATAAATATGCTAAACATCAAAGGTCCTATATCACTATGGTTAAGTATAGTGTCGAAAAAAGGTAAAAATGGGTTCAAGATTAGGAAAAAAATGTGTTAAATGCCAGTCAAAGGTTTGTAGAGCACTATACGAGAGTAATGGTTGAGAAAATGGTAAAAGAAGAGAAAAGGGAGTAGAGGGGGGCTGTTAGTAAAGGGACATTGGATAAGCCCTTACGGTGATTAGATCAAATGGGGAGTATCTATGGGTTTGAGGAATGAAGAGGGACAACGTATGAGGAAAACTGCACAAGGGCCATTATGAATCAATCAACGGGTAATAAGGGTAGAAGTGGGTGTTGGAGAAGTAGGAAGAGAAGAATCCGGAGAATAAGATAGGGAATAGGGGAAGGTGGTGACGTATCAGGAACAATGTCAGGAGGAGAAGGATCCGGAGAAGGTCACCGTTGCGGTATGAGGGAGTCACGTGAGCATCCAGGTGGGAGCGATAAAGATAGTGAGGAAAGAATAGGGAAAAGTACACGTGGAGAAGAGGAGGATGGGGTGTGTTGGGAGAGAGTGGGAGGAAGAGGGGTAGGGGGGAACTTAACTTAAGGAGGAGAAGGATGGTTTATCTCTAGTGACCTGCTCCCATCGGCGCTCTCCCCTCGCAGACCACGAGTCATGAGTTCTTATTTCCCAGGATTCCAAAGTGCTCTGTGCCCCGAACGAGATGACACAGGCGAAGTGACCGTAGAATACGCTAATCCAACCTTTATTGCTCGCATACATTTCTCATGTTGTTATCCTTATGAGTTCATGTATGAATGTGTCATGTTTATACTCAAAATATTTCTTAGAAAATGCCTATTCTGAATCACTATGAATGTAACTGCTTTTATCACTTATCACTGACATGCAAATGTTTATGCTTCATGAACACTCAGCAAGTCTGTCCCCTAACCACAATATTCTAGGTTGTAAAAAATACCCAGTTTATGTGAACCCTTGTTCCTTCTTCACGAAACGGTCATGTGAACCGGTTTCTAAAATTGTGTTCATTCATATTTTCCAATGTGAATTGTTTAAAAATGAACTTTGTTCATGGCAATTCCTGTGCCGTCCAGACAGACCACTCGGCCTCGCCGGCTTAGCAGGGCGCGCTACTCAAAGTTGTAAAGCTGCAACTTTAATTCCACCATCACCTTCAAGGAACTCAACAGCGCACCATTGCCTTACTTTCGGCCTTACCACTTCAGCCACGCACCAAGTAATAGTGGGAGAACTCCACCTCCACTAGAAATTGGAGCAGCTGAATTAAGACTGCAAGAAGAATTTGCTTGGGGAAGAGGGTGAGTAGCGTTAGGATTGTTCGGGGTAGGGAGGTGAGATACTGGGGAGATATCTTGCGAAGATGGGAGGGGCGTGCTTCCTTTCTGCACTTGGATTCGAGATTGTAAACATGGAATCTCTTACAAATACTTATGGAAGCCACCACGCTTGGCACTCATGCTTACGTGAGCAAAGCAATTTGAACGGTTATGACCAAAGACTATATACGAAAGACAGGAAACATGCCATCTAACGCATTATAAAAAATGTGAGCTCCCCGGTCATCCACCAGCGCCATCTGTTGACTCGACGCCCAACTAAACGTCCGACGTCGTTCAGTAGGGGTGCTCACGGGCTCATGTTCTTGGTCAGTTCAGCCTTATTCAGAGGGGATTGCAAATAGCTTATTTACTAATAAATTTTATATATATATAAATTCATATCGTATCATGACTTTGTAGTAGCATTTATTTTCTTCATATAATTCCTTTGCCACTCCTAGCCCGAAACTATCCATTCGGCAATTTAGGGCTGGTTAACAACAATAAATTGGTAGTTCATAGATGCACGGCATACATACGGCGTATACAACATGCCATAAACAGGACACATTAAACCACGTGGCACAATGAACTTGTAGGCCTACAGTCACATAACATTAGTGACATATGATGTATATAATTATATTGCCAAACATGCATCAATACATAGAAATTGAGTATGATAAATTAAAGAAAATTATTACAATATCTTTATTAGAATAATAAAACCTTTGCATATAAATGGCCGAAATACACATTTCTATTTCAATTCTTCGCATTGCGACCGCATGATTTTGAGGTAAATTTCGTCATTAAAAAGTTTTTATTTTAAATTTTCTCATTAAAAAGTTTTTATGTTTGATTAGGGGACTGTCCCCTAACCCCCTTTCCTAGGAGCTGCCTGGAATGCATCTGCTACACCTTGTATACTCTGGCTAGGAGCTCGAAACAGGCCACCCTTCGTTGTCCTGTTAACATTTGAACTTATTTTGCTTATTCTATATTTCTGTTTGTTCCTACTATACAGATCTACCAAGTAATTATTCATTGTTCAATCAATATATATGCTGATTTTGGTGATAACTATAATCTAACTGAAAATCAAACTGACACAATTTTTTTCTCACTTTATTGATGTCAAATCTATCGTCAGCTTACGTCAAAATGTAGCTTAAGAGGGTTTTACACGGTCAAACATGTTGGCCAACACGCTTGACAACACGACGTTTGAGAGAATGTTTGAACGTGTGAAAGGGGTAAACATGTTTGACCAACGTGTTGGACGGATGTCTGACGGGGCCTGACTTTTGTGGGCGGAGCTTGCTCGGTGCATGTCCATGTTTGAACGTGTGAACGGTCATCAGCCTTCAACCGTCATACATACTCAAATCTCGCCGAGGTTACATCTGTAAACATCTCCTTCAGTGACAGGCGTAGTGTATCAGCTGCAAAATGAGTGACACGTGTGCCATTAAGGATAAGGAAAGGGAAGTAATGGTGGGTTTCATTGATATATACAGGAAGCATGTGGCTTTGTGGAAGGTGAAATCAAAAGAATACTCAAACAGGAATTTAAGAAATAAGGGTATAGATGAACTGCATGGAAAGCTACAAGAACTTGACCCACATTGTACGCGGGATGATGTGATGAAAAAAATAAATTCTCTCCGTAGTTCGTTTAGAAGAGAACTTCGAAAGCATGAGAGCTCTAAAAAGTCTGGAAGTGCAACTGATAACATCTACACGCCCACTCTCTGGTATTTTGAAGACATGATGTTCATATGTGATCAAGAGATGCCACGAGAGAGTACATCAAATATGGAATGTGTTAATGAAGAGGTGAGTTGCAAGGATTTGCCCAAAACTGGATAACAAGTAACCTTCAGAACCAGAGTGGCCGTTTATTTATTCGTTTTTTTATTGGCTATGCATAGATGACTTTATTCAGTTTCATGGGTGCTTTCATATAATCTGTAGGTTGTAAAATGTATCTCCTGACTTCTCTGGTATATTAGTCTGAAGTTTCAGACAATTTTGTATTATGAATCATCATTTCATTAAGAATCCAACATGTCAATCTGGATCTGAAGGCTAAACTTGAGCCAGCCATTTGAATAATGAATCAATTAAACTTATCATAACCATTGTATTCATTTATTTTGAAAAAAAAAAATTACAGCACACTATTTAAGCCAATTCCAATCAGACTGTATAGTTTGAGTTTGAAGGTGTAGACTAGCCTTTCCTATTTTCATGATTTATATGAAGTCTTTTTGCCATGCTACTGCACCGGCATTCACAAAGTAATCCTTAAATCTATCTCTTACTACCTTTGCAATTTCAGGATAGTTTCGTGATCCCTGACCGTGTTGCAAACCTGCTACATAAGGATCTGCAGTTAAGCCTGGCAAAATCATTTTGCACATTCTATCCTCCCTATGGAAGCAGTCCTCTGGGGAATAGTCTGAAGGGCATGCTTTCCGCAAATAGTTATGTAGCACAACACATGCCATGACAACTTTGTCAATACTTGTCAATTTGAGATTTATACAAGTGTGGAAAATTCTAAACCTGGAAGCCATAATGCCGAAGGCATTTTCTGCCACTCTCCGTGCCCTTGACAGCCTGTAGTTGAATACTCGCGTCTCACTATGTAGGTCCTTTTGAGAATAAGGTTTCAAGAAATCTGTCCTTAATGCAAAGGCCTCATCTCCCACGAATACATATGGCAAAACACAATTTGAAGTAGCTGTTACTGACTCATGTGGGATGCAGAGCTTTTCATCTTTGAGTCGCTTACCAAATTCTGTATTATCAATGACTCCTCCATCTGATACGCGACCATTAGTTCCAATGTCTGCCATAATGAATTCGTAGTTCGCATTTACAACTGCCATTAACACAAGACTGTTGTATCCTTTGTAATTCCAATAATAAGACCCTGATTCTGATGGCGGCGTTATCCATACATGCTTTCCATCAACAGCACCGAGACAGTGGGGAAAATTCCATCTAAACTCGAACTGTTCTCCAACAGTCTTCCACTCCTTTTCTGTTGCCGGAAACTGAAACAGATAAGATACAAGAGAGAGAGAGAGAGAGAGAGAGAGAGAGAGAGACTTGCACTATATTTATAGGTGTTCTCCTTTCTAGAGTGTTGCTGAGCCACCAGCTGATGATGAAATACCTTCATGCAGCAATGCTCCTGTAGTGAAACGGAGCAGGGGAAACACTACGAAGGCAGATCACATTCTAAACCTGGTCGCTCGTAACTTAGAAGAGAGATCTGAGAGACATGATACTCCTAATGAGACATTTGGGAGTACGTAGGCCAAGCACTCGACTCCCTGGACAAGAAAACAGCAGGCTGTGCTAGGAAACTGATAAATGATGTGCTTTTTGAAGCAGAGAATGGGAATTTGTCTGCCTATTCTAAAATTGTAACAAACACATACCATTCACATGAATCATTTGCAACACCAGTACCACAGTCGTCAAGTTCCTTTCATGTAAGCGATAATTCTAATAGTGATTCCAATATGTCACACTATTTTGCCAATTTTCAGCCCTTGTAACAATTTCATATGTGTCTGGCAATCAAAGAGTGAGATATAAAGGGTTATAATTTTGGATTGATTTGGGTTTTGTCCTTTCGCTTGACACTGTGGTTAGAAAGCATAGGACATTTCAACAGAAGGTTTCAGTATTTTTCACATACTATTACTATGTACTGATTTTCCTCAATAAATGCACATTACATATTGCATATCATAACCCACCTTTAAATAATCCTTCTTGAGTACTTTGTAGATGGCAACACAAGTTTCTGGTATAATCTTGGATAAGGTGCTAGTTCCCATTACAGCTGAAAATCTCAAGTCTTGCAGAGATCGGCCTGTTGCTAAGAAACGCAGTGTTGCGATCAGCCGTTCATGAGGGCTAATGGACTTCCTCATTACGGTGTCTTTACATGTAATGAATGGAGTGACCATATTCAAAAGTTCTAAATATGTTGATTCATCCATGCGCATATAATTGCGCCATTCATCTGGGTCTAATTTCAGCTCTTTCATTAAGTTGGTATGTGAAATTTGGTCCCTTTTCAGCAACCAGTCCTTTGTCCACTTTGAACGCTTCCTTTTCTTTTCGTTGAGGGCAATCACTATCCCGACTGCCATCACCTCGTCTGTGGTAAGTGACATGTTGCTCCTTCTCCTTTTGGCACCGACTGAGGTTGTCTGTCAGTTTGGTTTCAACGTGTAAACACTCTTCAAACATGTTGTGTTGGAGGTTTGATGAGCATGTTGCCCAACATATTTGACCGTGTAAAACCCCCTTTAAGGCTTGCACTATATTATTATGTAGGTTTTTGGCCTCTATTTTTTAGGCGGGGGTTATGACTTGACACCTTTACCAATCAAAATAATTTCTTGTGATCCAATTTATATCTTGCTTATGTCAATCTGAACGTCACATATCTTAGGTTATATATAAAAAAACATAAATATTACAAACCTTTCTCTTTCCTTGGAAAAAAATGAGGTAGAGGTTGACGACCGCGTATAGTTTAAGATGCACCGGCCTTATAGTCACCGCTAAATGACGAAAATATAACGCGCGGCCGCCTTTCAATTTCAAAGGCGATGAGCTTGTTTACCTTGCTAGGAAAAACACGACACTGACCATCGAACGCATTTTTGCGTTCGCGAACTAGTCCGTGTATCATTACGCGCTTGTCAAAACGATATTTGGCTAATTATCTGTGTCTGCTGGTACGCATTTATACCTTTAAAGTCTTTTAGTAATGTTATTATACTTCAATTGCATATTTTTTATATTTATCTATACCCTCATATCGAATCCTGCGCATCGAGTGTTTCACACTTTCTTGCGCCAGCCACAGGTTGACAGCTCACCAACCCGCTCATTTCGAGATTGAAAGCCGGTGAGAAATGTTGCGTTTCCAGTGTTGTGTTGATTCTGGGTTCTTTTTTAAGACCTTTACAGTGGCATCGAAGAATAATTCGACTTCAGTAACCATCCCAGTTTTATATCTGAGCCCATCAAGAGCTCCAAAGGACGAAAAAGGTGATTAAAATCGAAGCAATCCCAACAGTACAAAGAAACGAAAGTTTCACGTTTCCGGTTATAAAGGTATTTGGTTTATTATTTTACGGTGTGAATGCAGCTCTGTCTTGCCGTACATACCGTGGTGGAGAGAATGTGTCCTGGGGAGTGTTGGGGGGGCTTGCCCCCCATCAACCCTCCCCTCGGCAGTGCCCGAAGGGCACGCCTAGTCACGGCAATTTATATTGATATATTAGGTTGGTTGGTTTATTGGTCAATACGTTTTTGGGGGTTGGAACGTGTGAATTCCCGTAGAGTTTTTTGTCGAAATGTGGGTTGGGTTCCCGTAGAGTTTTTTTTATTTATTTATTTCGCGTCAGTCCGTAAACTTTCAAAGATGGCGGTTACATCCGTAGTTTCATTGGCTGATTTTAAGTGCTTTTTGTGCTAGTTTTACGCATTTTTGATCGTTATTCTTCTTATTTAAGCTTGTTTTACCCCATAATTTCCCTGATATACTTCATGCCCTCCCCTGCTAACGGGACTATCAAATCAAGATCGTCGATGGAGAAATGGTACTCGATCTCCTGAACGATTCATTCGCAAAAGAAACAACGCCGAAAATCGATGAAATCATAGGATTTCATGCAGAAAAAACATCATTTTTTTCGACTTAGTCTCTGCGAGGGTGCGTCGCGGTCTTCAACAATTACCAAAAATGAAATATAAGTTATTTATTCTCTTCTTTTTGTTTTTTTTACAAGCAGAACAACGATAAGACTTTCCTGGCAATGTCGGATCTGTCAGAACAATTTTCGAGCTTCTATGTAAACAAACAGACGGATATGAGATGGCGTCACGAGATGCTCACTAACGCCATCTATTGCGCCGACGCCGCATTACTCACAGGATTTTGCTCGACTTTCCGGTCTTTCGTAGATAGTCTTCGGTTATGACCAAGTTAGGCACATAGAGGAAACAGGCTGTGAAATGACAGTGTTTGGCTGGGTGGCCAAAACGCCAACATTTCATTGATGGGGAAGGGGTCGATTTGGTCGGACAGGGCAGGACACCACCGATGAACTACAAGAAGAGGGTCATGTCTACGGAAGCTAATCTTGGCTATATTGGTGTAGGCCTTACGCTGGCCTCTGTGAGGAATAGCATAACACTGTACTGCCACTGCACCGTAGTCACATAGTCACACCATAGCCTTGTGAGAAGGCGTGAAAGATCGGAACGACTGTGAAAGGAAACTTTGCCTACTTGCTCTTGGAGTCATTATTGGATCTGAAGAATAGGGAATAGGGGGCTGTAGCGGGAATCACAAGGAATCAATCCCAATTGGTTCGGCTAAGAAGAGTAGAAGAGATTTGCAGAGGTGAGGGACAGTGGAAGGGCGAGGGCGGGAGGGAGAGGGGATGGTGTGGAGTGGGGAGGAGGACAAAGAGGATGAAGAGTAGTAATGAGGGAAGAGGAGGGTAGATAATGAAGAAGACTGCGCAGGAGGAGATGGAGAGGAGGATGTTGGGAGAGAGGAAGGGGTGTATCCTGAAAGTTGAGCGATGACCTGTGTGGGGTTTGTCATGGATAGAGATGTCCGTAAACATCGAGGAAGTGGACAGAAGAAGGAGGTGAAGAAAATGAAAATGGGAGAAGAAAAGACCACGCAAGATTGTTTGAGGCGAAGGCCGAGGGGTGATCCCTTACATTGGCCCCTTTTAGTGAGGGAACCTTGCCTGTCAGCCTCCTCTTACCTTCCACCAAATGCGTAAAAATCACTCTAGCGCAAAAGGAAGAAAAACTTTAAAATTCGTATTTTTGCTTATGTATTCCTCCATTTTTCGTTACGTAAAGAATTCTCCACGTGCTGTGGTCTTATGCATAGCTAAAGGGAATATTTAAGAATACTACTTCACAGGAAGAGCAGATAAATTGTGATGACGAAGGGAAATAAGAGAGAAACTAAGATAATAAAGTGAAAGACAGATAATATAAATAGCACGAGTTGATCGGGAAGTAAGGGAGAAACTAAGATAATAAAATGAAAGACGGATAATATAAACAACACGAATAAATCAGACGGCAAACAGATATATGAATAAGCATTTTTTAAAAACCATTTAAACATACATAAAAGATATCGTAAAATATGGAAAATAACAGGCTTAAGGATGAACAAATGAAGTCCACTGAATGTATAAAAAAGAAGAGAGAGAGAGAGAGAGAGAGAGAGAGGGAGGGAGGGAGGGAGAGAGAGAGGGAGAGAGGGAGGGAGAGAGGGAGGGAGAGAGGGAGGGAGAGAGGGAGGGAGGGGAGGGAGGGAGGGAGGGAGGGAGGGGAGGGAGGGAGGGAGGGAGGGAGGGAGGGAGGGAGAGAGAGAGGGGAGAGAGAGAGGGAGAGAGAGAGAGGGAGAGAGAGAGGGAGGGGAAGGGGAGAGAGGGGAGAGGGAAGAGGGAGAGAGGGAGAGAGGGAGAGAGGGAGAGAGGGAGAGAGGGGAGAGGGAGAGAGAGAGAGAGAGAGAGAGAGAGAGAGAGAGAGAGAGAGAGAGAGAGAGAGAGAGAGAGAGAGAAGAGAGAGGAGAGAGAGAGAGAGAGAGATGGGGGCGAGGAGAGAGAGAAAGGAGACAGAGAGAGAGGGAGAGGAGGGAGAGGGAGAGAGGGAGAGGGAGAGGAGGGAGAGAGAGAGGAGGGAGAGGAGAGGAGAGGGAGAGGGAAGAGGGAGAGAGAGGGAGAGGGAGAGGGAGAGGGAGAGGAGAGGGAGAGGAGGGAGAGAGGAGAGGAGGAGGGAGAGGGAGAGGGAGGGAGAGGAGAGGGAGAAGGAGGGAGAGGGAGAGGAGGGAGAGGGAGAGGAGGGAGAGGGAGGGAGAGAGGGGAGGGAAAGAGGGGAGAGGAGGGAGAAGGGAGAGGGAGAGAGGGAGAGGAGAGGAGGGAGAGGGAGAGGAGGAGAGGGAGAGGGAGAGGGGAGAGGGAGAGGGAGAGGAAGGGAGAGAGGAGAGGAGGGA